CTCAGCCACAGTATAACGCTGGAAACATGGGAGGCATGAGACTCCCCAACAACATGGCACCGTATCCTAGACCACAGGGGTACAACAATCAGCAGCAAGGGTACCACCCACCTCAGCAACAGCAGGGTGGAAGACAGGAAGACGGGTTTGCAAGACTTGAAGCAATGATGCAGCAGGTTATTGGGTCCAACGCTAAGATAAATGAAAGGGTGGATGCACATGATGCGGATATCAAAAATATTGAGGTACAAGTGGGCCAGATTTCAATGTCACTAAACAATCGTCCTCAAGGGACATTACCTGCAGATACCCCAAATCAATCCAAAAGATCAGGGCCCAAAGCAGCTAATGGCGGTGAGTCTCCGGAATGGCAGGGATCTAGATGTTGAGCAAGAGAGAGCTCGAGAAAACATACAAGCTGAGACACTCATTCCAGTGCCCATTGAGCTGGATGAGTCTACGGGATTGACAGAGGTAACAGTCCAGCCCGCAGCTGAAGAAAAGAATATGCAGCAAGAGACTGAGACAGTAGCTGAGCCAGTAGTTGAAACAGTAGCTGAGAAAGAGAAATCCCAAGTGATTGGGAAGAAAAGACCTCCTGAGGACATGCTTTCAAACAATTAGAGTGAGGATAGGTAGTAAAAATGCCCCTAAGGGTCTCAACAAGTCGGCACAAGGCCCCAAACATGGCATACAACCCAAAATATAATAACATCGAACAATTAACTATCAAATACGCATTAGAGTACTCGTTCGGGAAGGACTAGGTCACAATCCCCAGCGGTGCTCTGCCCCACACTCGTCATCTAGCGTGTAAGTCACCTCAAAGTAACACAACGATGTGTAATCCAGGGTTTCAAACCCTCAGGACAGTATTTACAATCATTACTTACCTCGAACCAGCGAAATCTCAAGCTCGCGACGCCTTTGCCCCTCAAATCGGCCTCCACGCGCGTCGAATCTATCCAAAATCAGAACGAATACGTCACAATATGCTAAGGGAACAAGGCCCAAGCGAAAGCAATAGAAAAATATCAAAAATCTCGA